ATGGTGGATGGGTGGGTGGGTAGATGATGAAAAAGAGGAAGGAAGGGAGGGAAATAGACAGTGGGTGTGGGAATGGATGTATGAAAGTAAATGTGTACGTGGGTGAATGGGCACACGTGTGAAGTGGGAGACAGGGTGGGGATCCTCCCCTGCTCCCCCTCCTCTCCCCGGACCTGCACTGGGGTCTGCCTTGGGCCCTGCTGCCCTCAGTGTCTGGGAGCCTCCCTCGCAGAGCTGGCCTGGACCTTTGAGGCTCTAGGTTGGGCTCTGCTCAGAGCCTCCACTTTCCGAAGTCTTCATGGTCAACATCTGCCAACCACCCAACAGACAGAGTGAACACGAGGGCTCAGAAGTGTTAAAGCTCAGAAAGGTCCTGGCACCTTTTCTCGCTCTGGCCCGCCTCTGAGGCCGCATCCAGGGGACACGGTGCCCTCTTTCCTCCTGCACTGGGTGGGGCACTAGCTGAAGACAGCAGGCAGAGGCAGCCTAGGCCCACATCTGGGCGGGGAGCTGGGACCAGGGTGGACAACCCAAGGGGGGAGAGGCGGGTGGGGTGGAGGGTGCCAGGTAGGCCACCAGCCCTGCTGCCCTGACCCTCCCCAGCCCCTCTTGGCACCTGGCCCAGTGTGAGTATGGCTGCTGACGCCTACCCCTGCAGTGACCAGGGACCGGAGGTCAGTGCCTACCTATTACAGAGGCTGAGGCTCAGAGGGACCACTGCCCAAGGGGTAGCTGGCTGGGGATGCCAGGAACTGCCCCCCATCCACTCTCCTACCTGAGAGGCCTCATCCCATGCCTCCGCTCCACTGTTCTGGGCACCAGGGCTCCACACACAGGAGGAAGAGGGACCCTGATCAATGGACTGCCCAGAGCAACCTGTGTGGGGCACGGGGCTGGGACAGTGGTGTGTCGGCAGCTTGTAGCTGGGCCTGGCAGAGCCGGAGCCCATGGCCTGGCAAACGCAGCTCAGGCTGCACCAGGCAATGTGCAAGCTCCTTGGGCCCCACCCCCGCAACCACACACACTGGTGCTGGGCCAAGGCTGAGGGACCCCTGCCCTCCCCACCATCCTGGGGTCACCCCCAAAGACAGCTGGAACCAAGACGCTCAGGGGGCCACCCTGCCCTGGCTCAGCTTAGCCTCACCAACTTCAGAAGCCCACCCCCCACTATCCCTGGGCTGGGCTGAGGCCATGCAGTCAATTCTCACACTCTCCCTGGAGTGAAAGTCCCCACTGCTGCCCAGGCTGGGCCACCCTGTCCCCTGCTTCCAGTGCCCTCCCTGCCCCGGCCGAGGCCCCTGCCCTGCCCCCTCTCCTCCCACCCCAGCCTGGCCAGGATGGGGGACGGGTGTGGATTACCTGCCGCAGGCCCTCAGCAGCCGGCCGTCTGTCCAGCAATGTCCACTAGTGTGCCCTGCTGTACCAAGGGCCTGGCGCCTGAGGGGGAGGTCACTGATACCCAAAATAAAACCTTCCCTGTCCCTCTGACCTCAGCGCCCGCTCTCTGGCTTAGCCAGAACATGGGGAGCACCTGCCAGAGGCCAAAGCCACTGAGCAGGCAGCCACCCTCCTCTGCTGGCCGAGTGGGGCCACTGCAGGTGTAGCCCCTGGGAGCACCCTGGGCCTGGCAGGGGGTAGGGTGCAGCCCGCAGCTCCCCAGGGTGATGACCCCGGGGTCTGAGTGGGGCTGGGTACATAGGGCTTCCCAGGCCGAGCTCCGGCATGACCTATAGACACGGCCAGCTGCCCCTGACGCTGTCCCCGTGTGTGTACCTGCATTGGTGCCTCTGGGGAGGTCCTCAGGTCTCTGTTAGCAGAAAGAGGGGAACCAGCCTAAGAAGGGGTGGTACCCCCACCCCTGGGGAGACAAGCAGGGGGGTCTATGAGCCATTCAGGTGTGTGCAGAGAGCCCACTGGACATAAAGTGGGCCCAAAGTGGCCAAGGGTCAGGACTGCATGTGACCTACCAAGCCCTTGCCCATCCCAAGACCTGGACAGGTGGAGGCGAAGGTGTCAGCAGGGCAGGGATGTCCCCAGCAGCTCCGGTCTCTGGGCTTCCCACTACGGGGCACTGGAGGGAGGTGGGCAGGGCAGGGGCTCCATCTGACTGCCCTTGCTGTGTGACCATGGGCACGTCCCTGCCTCTAGGGTCCCTGGGATTTTGTCCAACTTGCAGGGATTGAGTGAGGTGCAACTAAAGTCTTCCAGGAGCCTCTGAGAACCCAGAGTGGGGTGGAGCAGGTGGAGCTGGGGCAGGTTAACTCCCCGGGGCAGCTCAGCCTCACATCCCTGCCTCTAAGGTCCAGAGAGAAGGGACCTCATCCGTGTCTCCCAGGACCCAGCCCTGCCCTGGGTGCCAGCCTACCAGCTGCTGCCCTGAACCAGCTCATTCCACGGAGCCCACATCTGCGCTTGGCGGGCCCCTTGTCTGAGCCCGGGCGTCTGGAAGGAGGTGCCAGGCTGCTTTCACCTACTCTGTGCCTTGGTTACTCTAATATGGGAGCTTGTGGCCTCACTGGTCAGTGTGGGGACGACCGGAGGCCCAAGCGAGATGTCTACTGGTTGGATGGTGTTACCTGGAATTCCAAAAAGAAAGGCCGGGATCGGTGGCCCCTGTGAGTGGCACACTGAGCCCAGTCCTTGGGAGAGAGGCCTGAAGGGTCTGGACCCCGAACTGGGAGATCCCGGCTGATGGCAGAAGGGTGGCCCCTGGCCCTGGGGGGCACCAGCCAGAGGGGAGATGCCAGCTCCCAGTGGCTGCTTGTTCCCTCACCTGTGTACTCCCCATTCCCCAACGGCATGCACCCAGAGGACCCAGTCAGCCTTGGTGAGGCCTGGACGTGAGGGTCCTGGCTGAGGATTCCAAGTCCTTCACCCCATGGGGGTCTCTAAGCCCCGGCCACCTCCTCTGATGGGGGGCAGGTGGGCTGGGGACAATGCGCAGTGTAACCCTTTTCCTGGGCAAAGTGCACCCCACAGTTACCTCGAACACAGGGGCACCTGGGCTGGGGACCCACGAGGCTGGCCCAAGGAGCCAGGGTCCCTGGGGCCACCCAATACCCTCCTTCATCCCCCTCAGCCATCAAGAATGTGCCCGCTGTCGCTGTCGGGGGAGTAAAAATAGAAGCTGACACCTCCTGGGGGCGGAGGGCGGACTGTCTCCTGGGCAGATGCTTCCCCATCCTCACCTCCTTGGGCCTCCTCGGCTATTCCTATACTTGGTAAGGGACCCGCATGGGCATGGCCCGGGCCACCCAGCCCTTGGCCAATGGGCTGCTGCGAAAGATCAAATGTCACTATAACATAAGGGTGTGAGGCCGGGAGGGCAGCGCCTGAACCGGTCCTGTCCTGTCCACAGGGAGCTCCAGCCCTTTCTCCGGACTCCGTGCAGGTGGGTACGGCCGGAGCAGTGGCCTGGGCGGCGGGGCCCGGTGCTGAGGGGCCGGGACGCCACGCCCCACGCATCTCAGTTCTGAGCACCGCAGCCCCCAGGATGGCATCCCCAGGGCCCCCGGGGCTGAACCCAGAAGAGGCCGTTCCACATCAGAACACGGGGCAGCGGAGGCCCAAGGAGGAAGGGGGGGGGGTTTCTGGAAGGTCCATGGTGGGAGGGGCCGTCCCCAGGCCAGAGCTGGAGAGAGCTGAGGGTTCGAGACCAAGTGGCCAGGAGCGGTGGGTTCCCCCCCGGGCTCCACGAAGCCGAGGGCCCCTTGGCCAGCTCCTCCCAGGAGCCCGGGGCTCTGGGCCTCAAGTGGCCATGGCCATGCCGCCATTTGTACAGATGACAGCGAATTTCCCCCAGGAGCGAGCCCCTAGGCGGGCAGTTAGGACCCAAGGACAGGATGGAACAGGGCTTGGCCGGGGGGAGGGGGGACGTGGTCAGGGCCCCACAGCAAGTGAGTGGCAGGGCCTCCTGTGTCCCCCCCCCAGCCACGTCTTGTCACCTGGGAAGGAGGGTGAGCGTCTCCCAAGGAACGCTGACCTCACAGGCTATTTTCACCCCTGTCCCTCCGAGGACAGGACACTAGGTGGACAGCTGGCTTCCTCCTCAGCTGTCCAAATGCCATCCCCTGTCCCCAAGCACACCCCACCCTCGGCCCCTTCCCGGTGAACAGGACATGAGGGGCACAGAGCCGCCCGGGGGGTTGCCGTCAGCCCTTCGCTGGGTGGAGGTGCAGGAGCCCCAGGGGCCTCAGTTTCCCCGCTTGGAGGGGGGACTTTGCTGCCCTCTCACTGCAAGGGACCCCTAGGGGCACCTTGACTGGGGGTTCGGGAGCCCTCCTGGGTGCCCCTTGGGCTCCCGCCCAGAAGGACAGAGGAACTCAAGCCGGCCTGGGAGACCAAGGGGGGGACAGAGCGGGGAGGCCTGGCTAAGACCTGAGCCGGCAGCTGCCCCGTAGCCCCCCTCCCGCCGTCTTCGGTTTCTGGGCAAAGGAGTCTTGGCTGATCTGGGTGCCTATTTCCAGATACCTCAGCTGCCACCGGCTCCTTAAAAATAACCTGCACCCAGGCTCGGGCTATGACCGCCCCCCTGAAGGAGGCTGACAGGTGTTGGGCGCTGCCTGGGTGAGAGGTGGGCACAGCAGGGCGAGGCCCTGGCTCTCGCTGACCCTCCAGAGCGTGGCCCCAGGGCCGAGGCTGGAAGCCGGGGGTCCGGGGGGCCAGGGGAACAGTGAGGCCCCCCGCTGTGGATGAGGCCGGAGGTTGTAACTGGAGAGAGCAGTGGGGTCGGGAAGGGACGTGGGGATGGGAAGGGCCCCGCCGCCCGGAGGGGTTCTCAGAGCTCCGCCAGTTAATGATGCGTGGAGCTGAAATTGCTCTGGGAAAATCAACATTCCTGACCGAGGCTTTGCACAACTGCTCCCACCTTAGCAATGCGACGTGCACGCATTTTTCGGTGATGAACTCGTGTTTTTCTTATAGAAAGCTCCCCGGGGGTGGGGGCCACAGCTATTGTCTTCAGGCGAGCGGTAATGGGCGGTCACGCACTGGGCCGTTTGAATCCCCCGGCCGGCAATCTCGCGCAGCTGCGCGGAGCGTTCCCAGGCCCCGGCCGCCCCGGGCGTGTGCGGCGGCCAGCTCACCGGAAGACGGTCCTCGAGCGCGCTGGCCCGGGGCCGGCCGCACCTGGACACGTGCGGCCCGGGCAGAGCTCCCTGCAGACACTGACAAACTCAAGAGCACGCGCAGGGCCTGGGAAAGCGGGCGGGGGA